GTTTGTCGAGCGGCCCGGAAAACTCTCCATCGGTTAGCCGCTTTCCCCTTTCGAGTTTACCAGCGGGGGGCTGATCTCAGCTCATTTGCTTGCCTTTGTTGCTGCCACAACAATTGGAATCGAAACGACTATGAGGCGACGAAAGTTCAGCTCTCTCGCCTTCACACTAATTAAATAAAATCTACTCTGTTCGGTCGCCTAGCCGAGCACATATTTATACATTAATTACGACCTTACAGTGCGGATGACACACGCAAGATGAGGGGACTGGCAAATATGACAAAACAATAATGAAAGCTTTGACACGACTAATTGCCTGCGGCGTTTGCTGTCTGCTCTAGTTTCACTCCCAAACTCGGCGAATTTGTAATTGAAATAATGCAATTTCCGTTACTCGTTTCAAATACATTCTACAGGAAATCTCAAAGGGCTCGTCGACATTTCCCAGACCCCTCGACCTCGCTGAAAACTTAAACCAAAATTCATTAAAACTTTGCATTGTTTCCCCATCAAATTCAGTTTTGCCTCTCGCTCACGCGCTCTGTCTCCTTCTGTTAGTGTCTGTGTGTGTGTGGTAGGGGAGGTGTGGGTGTGGGGTGTGGCTCGGCGCGATTCTTATTTGAATAGGTATCCATTTTATTGTTTATTCTAGACTTCTGGTATAAGCATGTCGCGACTAATTCCAATTAATTCAGCAGACAAATATCCTCGAACGACGGAAGCGCAAAACTTGCAAACTTCCTATCCGCCCCTAACCACCCACCCCCGAGCCACCCCTTACGGCTCACAAAATGCTGAGCATGCAACTCGGTCGAGGGGCAAGATTTAGGGGGGATTGAAGAGCTCCTGGCTTCGGCTTTGGCTAGTTGTTTGCCATTGATTCTTGTTGTTGTATCTGCTCATGTTAGCATTATTGTTGTTGTTGCCAAGGTCGTTCTCGGTTGCAAGGCGGAACAAACAGGAAAACCTGAGAGTGATGCACAGTGGTAGCTACTATTACTTAAACACTCGTCAAACTAATGATCTAAAAATGTACATTGATGGCCCAATTTTCAAACAAATTTTGGTTTGTTTTATCGGAATCTGCCCCAAGAATTTTACACCATATTTTTTAGAAAATAGAAAAGTTGTAAAAACACACTTTGGTTTTCGGATAATTCTCGAAAAGAATCAAACCTGAATCTGAGAACTATATAACAATAAACCAATTCTATAAGCGCCCCGAATTGGACTGCCCAAATTAAAAAAGGGGGTTTTGATGGTAGTTGTTATTAAAATGGATAGGCAAATTTGCTTATATTGTTTAAAATAGGTAGATATTTAAGATATAGATTTGTTTTTATCGCAACTTAAGACGGCGAACGAATTAACAGATCCAATGTTAAAAAGGTCCTTTAGAAGGTCCTTGACACGTCATTCCCAAAAGAGGGGCGAAATACTTTACATCCATATACACGATATAGACAAGTGCGACTGAATATTATTTTTATACCCTTGCAGAGGGTATTATAATTTTGGTCAAAAGTGTGCAACGCAGTGAAGGAGACATCTACGACCCTATAAAGTATATATATTCTTGATCAGGATCACCTCCTGAGTTGATATAGCCATGTCCGTCTGTCCGTCTGTCTGTTTCTACGCAAACTAGTCTCTCAGTTTTAAAGCTATCGAGTTGGAACTTTGCACACACCCTTCTTTCCTTTGCACGCAGTATATATGTCGGAACGGCCGGGATCGGCCGACTATATCCTATAGCTGCCATATAACTGATTGATCGGAAATGCCATAACTTTGGTGTTTGTAAAGTTAGGAAGTTGGAATTTTCTATGGGTGTTATATTTGGCCAATCAATCCGACCTACCAAATTTCATAAGGATCGGCCGACTATATCCTATAGCTGTCATATAACTGATTGATCGGAAATGCCATAACTTTGATGTTTGTAAAGTTAGGAAGCTGGGATTTTCTATGGGTTTTATAGTTGGCCAATCAATCCGACCTACCAAATTTCATAACGATCGGAGGACTATATCCTATAGCTGCCATATAACTGAACGATTGGAAATGCCATAACTTTGGTGTTTTTAAAATTAGGAAGTTTGGATTTTTTATGAGTATTAAGAATGCATCATATGAATAATTTTGGAGAATATAATTTACAGAGTATTCTGCAAGGGTATATCAACTTCGGCTCCGCCCGAAGTTAGCTTTCCTTTCTTGTTTTTTTTATGTTTGACAACCGCTCATATAAAAACAATACTTGTGTGCGGTTAAGCCACATATAAGCAATTAAGTTACAGACATGAACATATTTTGTATTGGTCAACATTGTACGATTAAATCTAAAAGTAACTACATTAGAATTTAAAAATTACAATTAAATTCAAAAATAAGTACATTTTTTTTAACATTTAACATTGATATTTTCCAGATACTTCTTCTTTTACTTCGCCAAGGATCATTGTCACTGTGCCAGATAATCAAATTGCCGAAAATGCCAGCAGAGCGAAGGGCAAATCGGAAACATTCAGAATCGTAATCGGAGTCCTAAAGTTCTTAGAGTCCTGCCTGTGTGCATGTGTAAAATCAGCTTATAGCCCCATCCCCCCTTTAACCCCTGCCCCTAACTAGGCGTGTGTGTGTGCGGGTGTGCAACTCGGGGTTTATTTAAGCAAGTTGAAAGTTTTGGCTTGTAAGATTTACCTTCTGCCAGTGGAAGACAGCTGAAAACTTCTTTTTGCAGCACCATTGACTTTTGTATTTGTTACAATTTTCTTCGGGTAATTCAGATTTTAGCAGTCTGCAACGTGCAACCTGCCGCAGCCAGCTAGCTTCCTTTTCCTGTCCGGGAGTCTGTCTCAAGGATTTTCCATTTCTGCTGCGTTGGTGTAATTTGTTTGTGCCCAAAATGCTAAAATGCTGAAATGAAACTCACACAGATTCCATTTAAATGAAAACAAACAAACGGAACTCGAAAATGGAAGCAGGATAATCATTACTTATGCCATGTGGTATAGGACTTTTTAAAGGATATTAAAAAATCTACGAGAAAGTCAACTACATATTATTTCGAAAAATATTTAAATTATTGGAATATATTCAATGAGAGTCACTTAATTCCAAATGCCTTCAAATATGGTACATTTTAATTAGCCTTGTTTCGTTAAACCAAAGGGATAATAAGATTTCCATTTAAATATGATTGAGCAATTGAAAATAGAACCTAAAAAAACCTGAAAACCGATTTGACAACTTAAATCGTTTGAAGGAATCACTCCATATGATTTACATACCGAAAACATCCTCTTGAACCCGCTTACTCTGCAAATTCATTAAGCTATATCCATGCTCATTAGATGATCAAATAACTTTCAGATACTTTGAGAGCAAACATAACCGAAAAGTTCTTGGCCCGACGGATAACATGGCCAAGGGTTAATTGGCTGCAGTGGGGCCGAAAAGTGACTGAAATGGCTGGGATGGCAAATCTCGTTTGGATGTTAATCATGTTATTACTTGGCAAGGCAATTAATTAATGTGAGCTATTTATATATTATGCATGCGCAAGATACAAATGTATCTGTATCTGGCTATCAGCGCACACTCAGCTGCGTTGGAAGGGGGCGGGGAAATGTGCTGAGCCAAGCTGTCAGAGAGTTTGGTCATATTTGTTTTTATTATTATATGCATATGTTGACATTTACAAAGCCAACAGAAAGAGGAAGGATAATGGGAAGGGGGAGATTTCAGCTTGTGCAAATAACTTTTTGTATCTATGATCCATCAGCAAATGCAATGGACGACAAAGTTTTCCTCGGAAAAACAAGATTTTTTGGTCCCAACCCTGAACCCTAAGCCACCCCCTCCCGAACCCTCTCCGCCGCCACCGAAACCATAAACCAAACACAGCAAAGACATTTAAACAAATCAAGCAATGAAGCTAAAAGTCTCTCAACCGTATCACACATGAGACCCCTTGCCGCCCCAGAACCGAAAGTGGAATGCTTCATTTGGCCCAAAAACGCCAGAGTTACCAAAGGGTTAACAGCACATGGTGGAGGGGGAGGGGTAGGGGGATGGGTAACTGGGAAACATACTGGTTACTGCTGTCTTAAGTGATGAATATCTGGAGAGAATTTGGATGCGCTTTAATGGATAGATTGCGTTAGACGAATTAGACCTCTGGGACCAGGAAGCGGAACAAAAATGAGTGGGCAGAAGGGTAACCCTGTATGAGAACCACTCCGGAGTAACTCTTTTATTGGTAATTCGGAAAACAGATGTTTCGTTACTTTACTTAATTGACCACCAAGTGGAATCAATTGAATTTCTGAAATAACAATTGAAAAAATATGTCATTTCCAATGCCAATTTTACATATGCCTTAAAGGTATATTTTAAACTAGGCTCAACAACGCAGGCTCAAAAAAAAATGAATGGGCCCAATTTTGATTATTGATTATTGTTCTTCATATTCCCGACACCTTTTTTCTCAATTATATTGCATACTTGAACACCGTCTTCAAGTTTAAAATATATTTTAAATTTGCAACAATTAAGATGATATAAAACATTTTTGGGAAATATTACTTAGTTAGTAAGCTCCTTAGGGAAATCACAAAGGTTTTACCACAGGTTTTCGAACGGGCAGGTAATTGAAATTAATAAGTAACTATAAAATATATATTTGATAATTATAAAGGAAGAGATTATACATTAAGCGTTTAAACTAGGATCGTAGTAGGCTTTATTGGTGTACTTTGCACTTCGCAGCACTTATTCAAAATATGTTAATTCATCCATGAATTTTAGAAATTTGTGTTGTAAAGACTGACAAAACGTCAGCACTGTAATTGAGATGGACATATGATTTCTGTTAAGAAAAAAAGCGAAAATAAAATACCCTTTTACTTACGAGTTACGTTTGTTTTGTTTCTACTAATTATGCATCCTATACTGGGTTTGTTTTTTAATATCCCGCCAATAAAAAGTACGTGAAGTTAAAACAAGCGCTCATTTTATTGCCGAAAGTTCAATCCAAAGTAAGCCTGCATCTATCCAATTGTAATAACGTTGTGATTCACATTTTTGCCTCCTCCAGCCGCTGGAGTCGCTGGAGCCGCTGGAGCCGGTGGAGCCGCGGCGGCAGCTGCTGCTGGTTCGGCTGCTGGTTCGGCTGCTGGTTCGGCTGCTGGTTCGGCTGCTGGTGCTGGCAGATCCGCTGGTGGAGGATCCTGGGCTCCGACCAGGACCGTTGCCACGAGCAGAACCACAGCAATCTGTAGGAACTTCATATTGACGGGCGATAGATGAATCTCAAGGCGACTGGCACGGAGCTTTATATAGCTCTGACGGATTGGGTGGAGCCAATAGCTGTAACTAATTCTAATCAGAGGTATTTCCATGATCTCGCTAGTGGTGCATACGGCAAGATTAAATTATACACATTAATTTGTGTAAGTGGAAACATTTTACATGACATTTAAGCTTGCGCTTGCAGCAGCCCGTGCCTTGTTGCTTGTGGTTGTCTGGTGGTTGCTACAACCCGAAAGATACACCGCACACATGAAAGATATACACGTAGTGAGGGAACGGGCAGCGCTTTGCACTTTGTCTGCTCGGGCGGAATATGCCGCGTTCAGTTCTCACTTTGAGCTTATTTTCTGGACCCCCTTGCCGCCCCTCCCCAAAGCCAGCAAACTTTCCACGGAACTGCAATGGTGTAAGTGGTCTCGGGGGATGCGAATCGGGGCGGGGCAACACCCCCCAATGCGGTCGTGTAGTCAACTTCAACTTCACTTAAAATCCTTTTTGCCATTACGTTTCGATGCATATGAGGTTTTGTTTTGGAAGGCAAGTACGCCAGCTCCCCCCTCGACCCGCCCTGAGCTTATTTATAATTTAAATTTGGCAAAAACTTTTGCCAGGTTGCATTCCCAGCCATCCGAGTGGGTGAACTTTACTTTTATGTAAATGACACACACACAAAACCCCCGACCCCGCCCTATCCCTCGGTTCGATGTCATTCACAAAGTTCCGCCTGCGAGAGATCGAGTTTTCCTCCCGAGCCGGAGCAGTCATTATGGCCTATGATTATGGCTATTAGAGTGCAGCTCGGCTTCAGCTGCGGTCTGTGTGTGCGGTCCGTCGGTCACCTGCTGGATCATCCTCCACCAAGGACTGCGAAATCGACAGACTTCAACCGAGGAACACTTTAATATACGAGTTTATCTGCGAGCAGCAGTTCTAAGCACCCGAAAATAAACACGCTTTTAACAGCTTTATCAAAGCTGAAAAGCCTGCTATAGGGGCAACGGCGGCCAAAGACAGTTGGCAAACTCCGACCAATAAAAATTAAAATATTTAAGCAAAGCGTAAAGATGCAAAGCTCCGCAGTAAAGAAAGATACATGACCCTCCTGAACGCCAGGAGAAGTACACTTAAAAAAAGTTCACCATAATTGATAACATCTCTTGGTTTACAAATTGATTTGTGCTAGGTATTTTTTTGGGAAGCTACTTATATTTATCAGTTCTAACTACCGAACCTTTTTCGAGAGAAATGATATATTTGCTACGAAATATCAGGGAAGGAAAAAACTTAAATTCATAATATGTATATTAACAGGAAAGGAAAGCTAACTTCGGGCGGAACCGATGTTGATATACCCTTGCAGAATATTCTGTAAATTATATTCTCCAAAATTATTCATATGATGCATTCTTAATACTCATAAAAAATCCCAACTTCCTAACTTTAACATATGGCAGCTATAGGATATAGTCGGCCGATCCCGGCCGTTCCGACATATATACTGCGTGTAAAGGAAAGAAGGGTGTGCGCAAAGTTTTAATTCGATATCTTTAAAACTGAGAGACTAGTTTGCGTAGAAACAGACAGACGGACAGACAGACGGACAGACAGACGGACAGACAGACGGACAGACAGACGGACAGACGGACATGGCTATATCAACTCAGGAGGTGATCCTGATCAAGAATATATATACTTTATAGGGTCGGAGATGTCTCCTTCACTGAGTTGCACACTTTTGACCAAAATTATAATACCCTCTGCAAGGGTATAAAAATACACCTCTGATTTTCTCATTTTTTATTTCTATGCGATATAAAAGCTTCATCATCTAATCTTATGAGAACGAAGTCAATTACTTGTTTGTAGTGCGTGCAGGATCAAGAATAATAGAGGCGTTATTTTCAAGTCCGAAGCTTCATAAAAAAGGTTTTTTAATTCGGGGCGGAAATATACATGTCTTAGTAAGATTCCTTAATATTATATAGTTCCCGGTATCTCAATTTACTTTATTTTTATTTACTATACTGCCTCCAGGTCTCTGCTTCATATTTGGAAATATAAAAATACATAACACATATACAATTCTTTACTGGTGCAAATTTTACCTTTCTCTATTTCTCCCAGTGTGAGATCAGAGTAGAACTCCCAGTTCGGTGGCGGGTTCCATGGCAGATTAAAAATTCCACACAACCTGGGTGGCGGCGGCAGAATGGTGTGGCAAGTGGTGGATGGGCGGAGTGCGGACCGAAAGTATCATTGCAAAAGTTTCATTCGCTACTCTGCAAGAGATTTGGGAGCTGCGGTAAAAATGCCTGCAAGGCAGAGACAGGGACTGGGAGGACCGTGGCTGCCGCTCCCCGCCACTTAATCCATGTGCTAAGTATTTTCTCAGTTAATTATGCAAAGATATACGCTTAAAATTTTGCAATATTACGTGCATATTTCAAATACCCAACGTGAAAATTCCCGCTTCCAGCGTAAAAACGGAGGGCCATAAAAATGCCTCCAAGGAACAAAGGCAACCGGAGGATCCTGGATTCGAAGGATACTCGCACTCCCACACACACACGCGCGTTGTGACAGCTGTGCCAAGAAGGAGGCCAAAAGGTTATGCCTCGTACGTGGCAAAGGGCGGAAGTGTTTCCTTTTCTGGGCTGTGGAATAGGGGGTGGGGGAGTCTTTTGGGTGGCAGCTCCCCAGGCACACGACTTTTTAATTGCTCGTTTGCCTTGCAATCATCGCTCGTCGTAACGGGTTTTTGCCGTTTATTGTTAACCGTTAACACAACCGTTACCACTGTCCCAAGGAGCTTTTGTGTCTTATTAAAGTGTCCCGATTTTAAGGGCCCCTAAGATGAATGTTCGACAGCAGTAGCTTTCTTGAAGATATTTTTGGAAATGAGTTAAAATGAAAACGAGGTTCCCCTTCTGGTCTGTTTTTCTGGCTAATTTTTTAATTAAATAAGAAAACAATTTAAGAAAAACCTTAAAGTGAATACGTGTTGTCGTTAACCACTGAAATATATTTTGTACATTACATTATACAATTTAATTATGTTAAATTTTTCCAATGGTGATTTTGTTTTCATTAACATTGGTAGCATTCTGAGCCAGGGCCAGTGCCGAAGAGATGAGCAGGACCAAAGCGATTTGAAGGAACTTCATCGTGGGTGCGGATAGTTACCAAGGCGGCTTGGCCAGACCTTTAAATAGCCTCCCACCGGATCGCTAAGATCGAGCGGAAAGAATCGAGAGCCGAAACTAATGCCGGAAATACCGTACAGTCCCCGATTTTCCGTCAAATAGGCCAAAAGTTAACCCGGCATGAAAGGGGTGTGGGGCGGTCGAGTGGGTGGTTCGGTGGGGAGCCTGCGAGAGCGTGCTGTTGACTGTGATTTATGTGGGGCAGGGCTCCGATTTCGGGCTACCTCAGCGAGAACTTGTGCTGTTGCTGGCAACTCAAAACATATGCATAGATAAATTATACGCGGTAAGCGCCCACAAGGCGTCCACCTCCCTGAATTATTCCCCCAACCACAACAACAACAGCCTCGGCAAACAGCGCTAAGAGCAAACATTTTGATGTGACGAGACTAAATTGAGCATGTTGTGCCGTGGGGCGAGGGGGCGTGGCCATGTGCCGCCCCTGCAACCCGCCCTGAACAATCCGGTGAATGCTTTCAGATTTCCATTATTTCGTTTTTTCGACTACCCCTTTCATGTCGCCGTGTCCCACCGCAACCCTTGGCACATCTCGGAAAATCTTTTTGTATTGCACGTCAGTCAGATGGAAAATAGATTTCTGTTTCAGTTATCATCTCGGATCCACCCGGCTGATGCCAACCAAAGTTTCTCCCATTTTCCAGTGGTTACTTTTCCCTCCGCAAACGTTCACTGTACTCGAGAAACTTTTTTATTTTTTAGTCGCCTTTTGTTAAAAAAAATTGACATAAAGTTTGTAATTTCTCTAAAAATGTAAATACGTTAACTTTAACTTTTTCAACATTTTATAAATTCTAAAAGCAGTTGAAATTTTAATTCTGTTTATTCAATTTAAAAATAGTAATACTTCAAAAAAACAAATACAAGCAAAAGTAAAATGAAAATCCGATCGAAAGGTATCGTAATAATAAATAAATAAATTTATTTTTGTGCAAACATTTTAGCGCTTTTTCCAACACGCTGACGGCGATTTCTTTTCAAACCTTGAGACTCTCCAACTTTTGATATATTTTTATACCCTTGCAGAGGGTATTATAATTTCAGTCAAAAGTTTGCAACGCAGTGAAGGAGACATTTCCGACCCTATAAAGTATATATATTCTTGATCAGCATCACCAGGAGAGTCGATCTAGCCATGTCCGTCTGTCCGTCCGTCTGTCCGTCCTTCCGTCCGTTTCTACGCAAACTAGTCCCTCAGTTTTAAAGCTATCTGCTTGAAACTTTCCCAAAAGTTGTCTTTCTATTGCAGGTAGTATATAAGTCGGAACGAGCCGGATCGGGCCACTATATCTTATAGCTGCCATATAACTGAACGATTGGAAATGCCATAACTTTGGTGTTTTTAAAGTTAGGAAGTTGGGATTTTTTATTAGTATTAAGAATGCATCATATAAATAATTTTAGAGAATATAATTTACAGAATATTCTGCAAGGGTATATCAACTTCGGCTCCGCCCGAAGTTTGCTTTCCTTTCTTGTTTTTTCTTGAAAATATCGCGCTTGGGATTTATTGATCATTAAAACGGCAGCTGGTTTCAATTCAAAGTCAACAGTACAATATAAATTTGGCGAGAAAATAGTCTTAATACCGTTTCTTCAAGTTTTCGCTTGAAATCACTTTTTTTAATACAAATTTATAAAAATAAACAAAATAAAATTTTTCACCAAGGTCCAAACCCTACAACCTTCTTACCGCGATAAGAAGGGATATTGCATAATAAATATTTTTCCGAAAGGTAATGTCCGTTTATATCCAGTAACTTACTCGTTCATTTTTCGTGAGTGAATCAAGTTTGTTGGAGTTTAGTTCGCTTCCAAATTCCGTTTCCAGTTCACAGTTCGCTTGAAGAACTCGCCGGCAGGAATCGTTTAAGCCATTCCACAAGAATTAAACCGTTTTGCTCCAAATCTTTTGGCCAAACAAATCACAGCTGAGTACACAGGGCGGCGGAGTAGGAAATCGGGGGAACATGCATAACAGGAGCAGCATCGTTATATCGATGGCATTCACATGTTTAGCACACAAACGAAATGCCAGAGCAAAAATATGCATACAAATCTATCTGTGCGCATTGGATAGCCAAAATCGAGTCCAGTTTCGGGGGATTCCCGGTCGGCGCAGGGGTTTGGCACTTCGAGTGGAGTCCTGAACTCGGATCTGAATCTGATTCCGAATCTGTCGACTGCTCCACATTTTGTTGTGCATGGCAAACATTGCGATGGAGTGTGTGATGTGATGTGTGGTATATCGTACATTGTCTATATGGGTCTCGAGCCACTTCCTCCTGATTCCCCGCCCCCCAACACATGGCTGCTGTCCCAATCAATTGTCCAAATGTCCAAACTTCATTTGTTATGCGCATCACAAAAATTGAAGCAAATCATTTTGCCAATCGCATTTTGATTTCAAATGTCGCTTGCTGCTGATTGAGTGGCAAGCGCTGGGTGGTGGGTGGAAAGGAATGGGGACAATGGGTCAGCCGCCCCACAGTTTATGCTAATTCCTGTGTATATTTGCCGCCAGCGGCGCCTGAAATTATGCAATGTCTTTATTAATTTATCTCGAAACCACACATTCCGAATAAAGCGATGAAAACGTGACACGATGAAAAAAGATTGATATTACAAAAATATTGTTCGATATGTATATATATTAGTGATTAAGTTAATTTACTTATTACTTAATAATTAACTTACTACTTAATTAACTGTTTCTTATTAATCTATTTTTGTTCTTGAGGAGAAACTCATCAAGAAAAAATTTTTACTTTAAAACGGTTTAATATGGGCAATATATCTTCATAGTTATATCTAATGCAAAATAAATAATGTTTTGTCTTTTCTAATTTTATTTATCCAGATTTTTTAACTCGACTGTTCCTGCTCCTCAAGAATATATGAGTAAAAACTTTGGAAGAGAACCGTTGATATGGCTTCTTCAAAGAATTTTAAAAACTGTATGTATCTGCATCCGGATAAATTAATAAGTTATAATCGGTTTTATTCCATCGAATCATTACTGAAACAATCTAAATAAACCATTTGTGTTACAAATCAACGATGATGATTTAGATAAGATTAGGAAAATCTGAATTTTAAAACTAAATGTCCCATGTTTAAATTGACAAAAAATTGCCAAATTAGCGTACTAGTATAACCGAACAAAATGGCCTAGTTAATAGTATACAATTTGTTTAGAAAAACCAAGCTTTAATATAATGTTTTATCTGATTCTCTAAAAAAAACATATAGCTTTGAAATTAAAAATATATTGAGCATCTTTTTTTGAAATAACTACACAAATTATTTTTACACTTGATCATATTTTTAGTTGTTTCGACAGGAATGGTCTTAAGAAGTTGGTATGAAATAATCAAAACTTCCATCTTGATTAAATGCAAAATACGTAAAGCCCATCTAATAAATTCATACTATCAATAAAGGGCTCTATACTACATCATTTCTCACGGTCCCATCTCTACATTCCACAGAGGCCTGCGGAGGATTTATATTCGTCAGGGCCTTACATTTGGTCCCGGCTATTTATGCAGTGTTTAACTTGGCCGGCGGCTCCTCCATTTCCATTTCCGTTTTCCCGCAAATGCCGCCCTTTACTTTTGGTGGGCGACACATTGCCGCGAGGGCGTGGCACTTTCACGCCCCACTCGCGTAACTCATTTTCGCTCGCCAGACGAGCAAGAAATGTGCAGGAAAATGTGGAAAAAGGGAAAGAAAGTTTCTTTTGCCGCCACTTGGCACATTCTTAATTTCTTGCGTATTTTGTCAAGACAAATTGAATTTTTATGAGCGTCCCCGTCCCCTTTTGCGAAAAGCAAAAGAAATCGCAAAACTCGCCGACGACGGCAGCAGAAACTTTAAACTTTTCTCATCTAGTGAAATTCATTTTATCACAAGTAATTACTTTGTAAATATCCGAAGGGACGGGAGCAGCTGCAGGCGGCACCTGCAGTCTCTTGGCCATTTAAAGGAAATAAGTTCAAACCTTTACGTTTTCTTAACGTCTAGATCTAAACGAAATCAAAACACATTAGAGTGGGCTTTCGAGCAGTTTACTGCATGTTTAATGCAACTTGCCATTGGGTCCGTCAAACCGCGGCAATGATTTGCACATAGAAAACATAATCGAGGGTCTTAGTGGGTAAACGTCGAAAGCAGAAGCGATGGCCCGTGGGCGCCGCAGCTGGGCATCCTGCATGCAGCTTAGTCGAAAAGGCCGAAGCCCATGTCATCGTCCTCCTCCTCGGACTCGGACTCCACCTTCTTGGCCTCCTCTTTCTTGTCGGCAGCTCCGCCAGCGGCGGGGGCAGCAGAGGCCGAGGCAGCGGCAGCGAACTTGCTGGGGTCCTTGATGTACTCCTTGATGGTGGTGGCCTCCTTGAACTCCACCTCTGTGGTGGCTGCGATGGCCAGCAGGTTCTTGAATCCGTTGGCAATGCTGTGAGGGGCCGAGGCGATGGTCGGGTAGCCCACGGACAAACAGACGGCGGCCAGGTTGGCCACTCCCTGCTGGAACTTGGCGCGCAGATCCTCGGGCTTGATGTCCAGGATCTCAGGCGAGAAGATGGAGCCGGAGTCGTACACCTGGTTGACAATCAGGCCGTACGAGAAGGGCGAGATGTTCAACATGTTGAGCAGCGTGGCCTCGGAGGCGCCGACCTTATCGCCGGGCTTCAGGATGGGCACGTCGTTGATGATTTCAATTGTTCCCTTGGAGATCTTGGTCGGGATGGACAGGGCCTGGAAGAAGCTGGTCTTCTCGGGTCCCAAGCCAGTGTTCTGGGCCGGGATGATGACGTGCAACGGGGCAATCGCGCCGGGACGGGCGGGGGCACGCACCTTGGACTCCAGCAGCTTGTCGCGCACTTCGGCGAGATCGCCCTTGGTGAACACGAAGCCCACGTTGCCCTTGATGTGGGGCAGCAGCTTCTCCAGCTGCGGGTTGTTCTCCAGATGACCGCGGATGGCCTTGCGCATCATGGTGTTCTTGCCCATCAGCACGACGGCCAGTCCACGCAGGCTGGTACGGATGTTCTGCATCTGCTTGGAGCCCACGTTGTCGGCGCCCACGATGAAGCACTTGGGGAACTCATCGAAGAGTTCCTAAAAAACGGATTAACAAGGATTAGTTGGTTGACCTTGGAGGTCGCGTGGCCGGTACTTACCACAACCTTGATGAAGTACTGAGCCTTCCATGCTGCCTTGTTCTCCCTAACCATTTTGATAGTGTATTAGGGACTCGTCGGTTGAATTTAAGAACTGCAAAAACACCATTTTGATTAGCGGATACAGGGGGCACCAATGAAGTATTTTCCAGCCGGAATATACTTGGGATGCAGCATTATTTCGGACTTTTAACAGCACTTACCAAAGCACAGACTTTTCGGTTTTCGCTCACAGAACGGAAAGAAGGTAAGTTGGTGGCGGAAACGGCTGAATTCACAGCGTGCTGTTGCACACAGTGTGCTGTTAAGCGCGCGCACACTCTGTGCTGTTAAGCGCAACAGTGAGGCGTTTGCTGCAGTTTAACGGTCTGGTTAGTTGTGTCAAAAAAAGGCAATATTCAGGAATTTTTTTTTTGACAATGAAAAAAACATAGGTACTTCAAACTTTTCAAGTATATTTCTGATATATTAAAGACAATTTTGTAAAAATTTCAACAATTTTGAAGCACTTCCGGAAGCAGGACACAGGGGGACGTAGGCCAATGCGCGAAACAGGAACCCCGCTGGCGACTCTTCTATAGGACGTAAAAATCGTCTAAAACAAAAAATTCAAAAATTGTCTTGTTTAGTAGGTGTGTAATTATGGAATGGACTACATTTATCGAAATTAAATAAAAAAAAACAAAATGGCGGCGTTTTTAAAATTTAGTGTCGATTTTACCGAAATTTTCTTCACTTTTTTGTCGATAAAAAATCCAATCTATAAGCTATCAATGTAATTCTAGTTCATTCCAAGGACAATTTAATTACGCGTATTAAAAAAAACATTAAGATTCGTTAAAAATTGACTGAGATATGACGCCAGCTCGAAGAGCGAAGTTATAATTTTTGTCATTTCTTTCTGAGATATTTCCTATCGGAGGAATATTTTTAAGTCGTCTGATCTGGTTCGTTCTGACATATACTATACTCTATACCATAAAATAGAATGAATATTTATGAATACATTAATCCAGATAGCTTTAAAACTAAGAACCTAGTTTTTTTTAGAAATGTACAGACGGATGGACAATCAGACTAATGGCTAGATGCCTGATCAATATACATATATACAATATAAGGTCGGAAACGTCTTTTTCACTGCTTTGAAAACTTTTGACACATGTAAAACACACTTTTGCAAGGGTAAAATAATAGTTCCTACAAAAACGGTTATTCTGTTATTTAACAGTTCATCAAAATGTCCGGCAGCTCTGCACCTCTCAGCTGGGGCGGGCAAATGGTATCGATTAGTTACGATAGGAATAATATCTGTTATTTTTTTTGTGTATTGTTTTTAATCAGCGGATAGAATCTCTTAAATAATACATCCGTCTTACTAGGTGCAACTATCCACCAATAAGCTGAGACTGAAAACCTGCCTGACAAAGATCTCTACCCACACAAGGAGAACCCGATTTCATCACAATGGGCAAAGATTACTACAAGATTCTGGGCATAGAGAGGAATGCGTCCAGCGAAGACGTCAAGAAGGGATACCGCCGGATGGCGCTCCGATATCATCCGGATAAGAACGACCATCCACAGGCCGAGGAGCAGTTCAAGGAGGTCGTAGCCGCTTTCGAAGTCCTGTCCGACAAGGAAAAGCGCGATATTTACGACCAGTTTGGGGAGGAGGGTCTGCGATGCGGTGACGAGTCGGCGACCTTCGCCCAGCCCACGTCCGATATGCTGCCATTCATGTGTGCCGTCGGTGGAACCGTTTTATTCGCATTTGCTGCCTACAAGACCTTCCAGTTCTTCACCCGGAAGAAGGAACCGGCCGCTAACAGCGACGGATCGTCCTCGGAGTAACTTCAGGACGCTTAAGCAAAGAACCTGCAGACTAAGTGATACTGTTTACTGTAATACTTATAGGAATAATGTATAGACCTCTATTTATAAACTGTTTAATAGGTTCTTGCTGTTATTTTTTTTTAAATTGTTATCTAAGTAAATCAAATATGCAACAGCTGTACCATAATTCATAAATAACAAATAGCTTAAATATTTATCTTTCAGACAGCGGTGACAGTAAGAGTTGTTAGGAGCTGTTTCAATAGTTGGTACATGTGGTTAATGTTTTGATCGCCAATGATCTTGCAAATAAAAAATTGAAATCCACATTAAATGAGAAAAAATATCGATTCATCGATGTTTTCCAAATTTTAGAAAAAATGTAAGCCTAGTACTTAGATTGAAAACAAATTTCACCATCGGAGAAACTTTAATCCTTCCAGTATGAGACGGCATTTTTGAAAGGTCTTACTGTCAATCAGCTGGGCTTGTTGACAGGCAGTTAAAATTCAAAAAACTTGGTTGTAGGATAGGGCCTTTAATGGATAGGAACCTTGGCAAGACGAGACCGGAGTGATAACAAATTAAAACCAATACAATTTAAATTTAGCAGTCCTTTTTATTATTTTACTGAAAATTTTCATTCTCCTTTGTTTTTTATTGGGTTTTTTATTTTGGATCTAAGAAACATTCTGCTCTGATAGCACACACTTCACACGATTAATTTTTTTTATCTTTTCGCTAGGACCTGACGAAAGTTCACCCGAAGTTAATTTCAGCAGACTGGCAACGCTATTAAATTTTCTGGTATATCTACGTCGATCTGAGTACTGTGGTGAAAAAGGGTCTGACAAAAAGTCGCCAGCTGTTTGGCTCTGAGTGGTAGGCGTAGAGCGCAAATAATCGTAATCGGCTTCGATTGTTGATATCAATTGGAACAGCTCACTGGCAGTTCATTTAATTTGGGACTTCCCAGTATTCTGACCCAGCAAGAGCATAGAGTCATAGAGTAATAATGTATAGAGCCGTCATTTGCTCTGCCTGCGCTCTCGAGTGACTTTGCCAGTGATGCCACAGGGAAAAACGGAAAAAAGAGTTTTGCAAATGTTCGAATCGAGCTTCATTCCATGCCCATGGTGAATTCTATTGCTGCACTGGTCGCTCTTATTCCTAAGGATAGGTGCGAGAACTCCCATATTATTGCTTGTGCTTCGCACATGTTGAAGTGGTGAGAAACCAATAGAAGAAGTTAGCTGAACATGGCTCTCAGCAGAGCTGAGGACCGGGCAGAGCAAATGAAACCTCTATATAGTTTCTTACTCTATGATAGAGTAATAATGTATAGACATAGAGTAAGAAACTATATAGAGGTTTCATTTGCTCTGCCCGGGCCTCTGCCAAAGCTCTGCTGAGAGCCATGTTCGAAGCTAACTTCTTCTAACTTAGGTTTCTCACCACTTCTAACATGTGCGAAGCACAAGCAATAGTATGGGGAGTTTTCGCACCAATCCTTAGCAATAAGAGCGACCAGTGCAGCACTAAGAATTCACCATGGGCATGGAATGAAGCTCGATTCGAACAAATGAAAACTC